AAGATAATGTAAGGGGCTGCGCTCTAGGGAGCAATCGCGAGGTATACAAGAGGTTGTATTCGATAGAGAGCTATAGAGTCTACTTGCGTGGTGTTTATTTACTTGTCGGAGAAAGGTTGCACCGAGTGTCTGAGCGCGTCGTCTGGGCGCCGCTCAGGCCTCGCACAGATGCCGGGTTGCAGAGTAAGACCTGGCGTCTGCTGCTTGACCGAGATTCCATCGAGGAGCTATCTAAAGGGCGTTCAGCCCGTTACATGTAGAGCCCTTAGGCGGTATAGGAAGCTTAAGCGCGTTAGGCTATATAACACTAAAAAGAAGAAGTAGAAAAACTTTAAAAAAAAAAGAGAGAAAAGAGATATAAGAAGCTGTAAGGGGCTCGACCCCGGAGGGTAGTCTTAAGCTCGGGAGCACGATCGGACAGGCCAAGGTAACAAGATTGTATTCGATAGAGAGCTAAGCTCTCGGCTACGTAGCTATCTATATACAATGCTGGTTGCTAGGGTAACAATCGGGCCGGGCAGGTGGAGTAAACGAGGTCGTAGACGAGTATGGGAGGCGAAGGGCGTTCAGCCCGTTACAGAAGCTACTACTTAGTATAAAAAATAAATAGCTATAAAGGCAAAATAAGCGTAGGAAATTGCAAAAGTTACCTATAAGAAGGAATAGGAGGCTAAGGCTATATAACTTACTACCGCGCGCGCCTAAAAAGAACAAAATTAGCTTACTATAATAATGAAAAAAATCTCGTAATAAGTAAAGTATACCTAAATAAAAAGCTTTATTATTGCAGAATATAAAAACAGCAAAACGTCGTCGTGTGGTAGGCTGCGAGAGTGGTAATGGAGTTGCACCACCGCCCGCCAAGCCCTCTACCAAAACCACCACCCGCGGCCGCAATATAAAGTTACTAGCGAAATATATATAGACGGAAATATATATTACTACTTGCTCAATACTCCACCAGAAAATCTCGTGATAATAGCTTTTGTATAGGGCTCTATAGCCTCATCTTTGGTGGAGCACCAATTTTGGTGGGGTGTTGCATCCGCTGAACAGTTGCAAGCACTGACCACCTACAGTAGAGCTTGGAGCCTGTCCAATCTCAAATTCCTTTACTTCTGATGCTGTGCTTCAAATTCAAGCGCCTTGATAGCCCACGCCGTAGGCACACCCCGACTTCCAATCCTCTTCCTACTCCTACCATATCTGCACACCCATCCAATTTCCCAACCACCGTCGCTCTCTTGTAACTCCTTGAGGTACTGTACATCCGACTGGGCCCACACACCTAGTTTCTGGCATGCCAACACCCGTGCGGTAGTTGAAACAGAATCTTCACGACGCCCCACGCGCTCGCGAAGCGCAGCAGCCATTGGCTTGCGGAGGGACTGGATCTCCGGCGCGGTGGGATTTGCATCGACAAGGCAGGATAGGAAGTAGAGAAAGACGTCGGCAGAGGTATATGCTTCTGCCCCATCGACATAGCCGCGGTTCAGCAGAATGCGGCGGACGTGCTCAAACTCCGGCTTGACGTCTGCGCCACGGTTGTAGTGGTAGAAGGCACGGACGACGTTTGTAATGACATATGGGCACACGCGATGCCGGCCGTCGCAGAAGTAATTCAACGCGAGATTGTCTCTGGGATGTCGGCTCGCTGCTATCTTGTCTAGAACTTTGTTGGCAGATGCGGCTGGTGGCGAGAATGCAAGCAGTGCGGTTGCTGTATCGTCGATGTCGTCGGGGACTAGACGTTTGAAGTTAGTAAGTTGGCCATGTCTTTTCTTCAATGCAGAGAGGCTGGGCTGCTTACAGGTTTTTGTTGTACCCACGGGGTCACCGATGAAATAGTTCCATGTTTTGGCCTCGGCGGAAGCCTGTTCGATAACGGCTTTGATTTCGGCTTTGGAAGCGCCAGGAGGAGACAAACTGAGATACTGTGCTTCCTTCAGCTCCCAATGAATGAGAAACTGCGAAAATGCATCGCGGAACTCTGGGCCATTTTCGATACATGAGATGTGGTTGTGTGCATTCTGCATCATGTACTGTCGTGCTCGTGTTACGGGATCAGAGAGCCGATTTCGTAGTTGGCGTATGAGAGATGCCGGCGATCTGAACACCATGCCTTGGAGGCCGAAAGAGCTTGCCGCGTTGACGTTGACTTCCTTGTCATCGACGAAGATAGCTGATGAGGGATCCCTCAGGCCGATCCTGTCGATAACGTGCTTGTAGTACCCCAGTTCTGGTTTCGATAGACCCGCTTCATACGATGTGAACTCTCCATCAAACAGACTCCAGTCGGAAAGTGTGGCCTTGAGAAGTGCAAAGTCGTCTTTGCTGCTGTTGGTCATTGAGTAGACTTTGAGGTGTCCATTCATCTCCTTCTTGAGCTCTACAAGCTGGTCGAGGAGCTCTTGGTCCACGCGTACTGTACCCCGACATTGCGCAAGTGCCTGCTTAATCGCATTTGGGTCTAGGGAAAGCTCTTTACCAATGCTCTCAATGGCTTTGTCCTCGCTAACTTTACCGCATTCGAGCTCGGTCCATGTAGAAGAAAGAATTACCGCGCGAAAATCTTGAGGGGAGAGGGCCTGGAGATCTTTGCCGGTCCAATGGAAGAGCACATCGCCGAGATCGAGAATGAGCGTGTGAATTTTTGATTTCTTGGTCCCATTGGTGGCAGTTTCTGTGTTCACTGTGAAGGAGCTAGACGGCGTGGTGGTCGGAAATTTCAAGGACAGCTTTTCGATATCAGAAGCAAAAGATTTTTCAGTCAAAGATTGACAGACTGGGTAGACGAGATCTGTGGCCATGCTGCCGGCTCGAGGACAATTTGTTTTTCACAGAATAGTTTTGGAATGCCAGAGGGCTTTGCTGACTGTAGTCCATGGTATATATACTAGCAAAGGATCACTCATATTCTTTCGCACGTATAACTAGGCAGGGGAGTGGCTGCGCCGCAGAGGAGTTGCATTAGATACTGGTGGGCGGTCGTTTTCCTTACTCACGTATGCTCTTAAAAGGATTGGCTTGTTGCCCCAAGCTTCTGGCATACGTGACGCCAAGAAGCCCCACGAGTTAAGTACGCTGTATAGTAACCGACTAGCCAACATAGGCTAAGGGTAAGTGTTATCTCTTTACCCATTTTATAATCGACAACAATCCGCCATCCTTCTCGTTAGACTATGCAAGGGCATGAGGGTTTCCTTACTCTTCGGTCTCCACCGCCGACTCAGTGTCATGCCACCTCAGTCAAAATGACACCCGTTTGGGACGTTTGCAGGGTATCCGATATTGTCTGTGCAGGCATTCCCAGCGGTGAGGCCAGTAACCAGGGAAAGTTACGCTGGGTCTTGCCTGGAGTAAGCCTCCGATACACGGGCTTCCTCCACGCTGGAGCTTCTCTCGGCGCAAGTACGGGCAACCTGAAAACTCTTTGCCTTCGCCCACCAGCAGTTTGGACACCATTGGTGTGTACAGTAAGCAGGACGGTCCACTTCGAGCACTAATTACCGAAGTGCCGTCTTAGTATCAGCCGGTAGTTTGACTACCCTCGGAGGAGCTGATTGTGTAACGGACCGAATCTCTCTGATGTACGAGTTACCATTTCTTGACGTATTTGAAGAGTGATCCTAACTCTCAGACCGCTGGCAGCGATGCGCAAGCTTTTGACTTTCAGCTTACTTGGACTGCATATCCTATGCATTATGGAAGGCAAATATGAGAACTGTATATTCCGTCGTCCAACGTGGCCCAGTTCTGTACCAAGGCGACGTTACAAAAGTTGGGGTTGTGGTTAGTAATGAGGGCGGTGATTACATCGAGCCACAGGAGGCGCAGGCTTAGCCCCGACCCCACCAAGACATCACGGGCTGCATCCTCCAGCTTTCCAGGCCGGTTTGAGATCCCGACCTACACCAGGCGCCACCACACCCTACGCAATCCACATCGTAGATAGAAGGTCGTTTCTGATTCCTGTTTTCGAACTCAAAGATGGCGCCTTCTAACTCGTTAGTCGTATGTTTCTGCGACATGCCTAGAGTAACAATGGCGCCACAAAGCTAATGAGGGGCAGGCTAAGCTCAAGGTACAGCTCAAGCTGTCGATATCGCGACTGCGCATGGTACAGCAGAAAGATAGCGCAAAGGTCAAGCAACAGAGGAGAGAAATGGCTCAACTCATCGAGGTGCGTAAAACATCACCTCGCCCCATCACCTTGGGCGCAGATTGCTGCGCAAGGCAACCGCGTGCACTCGGCGCCCAACACTACCCTACCAACATCCACTGACTAGCTCGACTTTAGAGCGGTAAAGTGCAATCTGCGAGAATACGCGTCGAGAACATCATCCGGACCGACATCACCACCGAGCTGCATGAGATTCTCGAACTCTATTGCGAACTTCTTCTTGCGCGCTCCCAACTCCTCGAATCCCAAGTATCGTCTTCAAATACCACCACCGCCGCCTCTTCGTCAACGCTGCTCGACCCCGCGCTAGAAGAAGCCGTGCGCAGCATAATATACGCCGCCCCGCGCACAGAGATTAAAGAGCTACAGACTGTACGAGCGCTGCTGGTAGACAAGTTTGGCAAAGATGTGGCCGTTGCGAGTATGGAGGGAGAAGGCGTCGCGGAGCGAGTGGTGAAGAAATTGAGAGTCGAAACACCCAAGCCCGAGTTGGTCGAAGCATACATGACAGAGATTGCGAGGTTCTATGGCGTACCATATGGTACATCCAAGAGCGAAGACGAGGCCGACGACGATGACGACGAGCCCTCAGGTGGCGTAGCAGAGTTGGAAGAGCCCTTGACAGCCGACGACGCCGACCCCAGCAAAAGCAAGAAGGCGGAAGAGCGAGAGGCCCTAGCCAATGCTACAACACCAAAGAAGCTCGGCCCACAAAGCCCGCTAAGAGTCGTCCCTCCAAGTCCCAGCACAGATAATGTTGCACCGAGGTTAAAGCTGCCGGGCAGTGCGGCGGCGAAAATTGCAAAGAGTGATGCGAGCGCCAAGAAGCCAGCCAAGAAAGAGGATGGTTTGGGCAAAATACCAGACGTTGATGAGCTTTCGAGGCGGTTTGCAGAGCTCAAGAGGTAAGCTGTAGGGTAACGATGGCACGTTTTGCGTGGATTTCGCATCTTGTGACATGGTTACAATTGGACATACTGTGGTGGCGTGACCTTGACATAAAGATATGGCCTCACGACAACGAACCAATGAATAATTCACAGCCAGTAAGAAAGTGCCGTTTTGTTGCATTCATTAATTGGTATTTTGCTAATTCGATCGCTTTACTAATCAGTAGACACTCAGCCTGTCGTCAACAAGGGCTTAAAGGGCTTGAATGCTTTTGAAGAACCCATTCGCCATCAACTTTTCGTTCCCCTTCACCAACTCCCTCATCCTCTCCACCTGCTGCTTCTTGGTCAACCCCTTACTTTCTGTCTCCTTCTTCCACTCTGCCAGCACCTCTTTGAGCATACGACTCCCATCCTCGACTTCTTCTTTGCTCGCCTGCACGAACCCCTCTTCATGCTTGCCGGAGAAGTCCTCAAGCTCGTCGGCTTTGCGCTTTGCCATGTTGATAACTTTTTGCGGGAAGCGGACCAGCTCGGCGACGTGAATACCAAAGGACTGATCTGAGAAGCCCGGCTCAACCTTGTAGAGCAGTGTGACTTCGCGTTTCTTTTGGACGGATGCCACGCTATCCATATTGACATCTCCATCTTCGTCCGCCCCTGTGGCGTTACTACCCTCAGAAATGTGCGCAACCACGTGCAAATTCTGAACTTGCGGGTAGGTGTCGACGAGCGCAGTCAATTCGTGGAAGTGCGTTGCAAAAAGGGCGAATGCGCCAATCTCCTTGATAATGTATTCTGAAATGGCCCACGCCAATCCAAATCCGTCATACGTACTTGTTCCGCGACCCAGCTCGTCGATAATGATCAGCGACTCCTTGGTAGCAGACTTCAATATGTTTGCTGTTTCGAGCATTTCGGCCATGAAGGTCGACACGCCTTTGATTTGGCTGTCGCTGGCGCCCACACGCGCGAGTATGCAGTCGAAGATTGTAAGCTCGGCTTCTGAGCAAGGGACAAAGCTGCCGATTTGCGCCATCAGGGCAATGACACCGATTTGGCGGATGTAGGTCGACTTTCCGCCCATGTTGGGTCCCGTGATGATGAGGAACTCGCTCTTGTCACGCACCAATGACACGTCGTTTGTGATGAAGGATATGTCGTCTTGCATTTCCATGCACGGATGTCGAGCTTCTTTGAGGACTGTATCGCCTGTGCCCCGTGGGTGCATCTTTGGCCGTGTGTACGAGGTTGGTGCGTGGACAGAGACGTGGGCAAATGCGACAATAACGTCTAGGTGCGCGAGGACAGCGGCGAGCTTCTCAATGACAGGGACATAGGACGAAGCTACCGAGACAACTTCGTTAACTAGGCCTGATTGTGTGCGGTTGTAGTTTTCAGACAGCTGATCAAACTCTCTACGCTTTTCTTGTAGAGAAGACGTGGTGAAGTAGACACCATTCTTCTGTGTAGAGATTTCTTGGTATTGCTTCTTTTGTCGAATGCATCCTGCTTCGTTGCGCGTAAGACGGAAGCACCAGCCGTGGACCTTGTGGTTTTCCAGGAAAAGCTTCTTCTCGGTATCTTGGTTAAGGTCATCGCCCACACGCATGTGTTCAGACTCCATGTCGCGCTTGAGCTTATCCAGGCGCTTGCGAATCGTTTTGAGCGACTCATCGAATTCGGGCTTGATGATGAACTCATGGTTGTCGAGAGCCTCTAGATCAACCGTAGTCTCTACCATGTCTTGCAAACCCGCGAATGCTGTCGTGTATTGACGAAGCTTACCCGTGTACTCTGCATCCAGTGGCTCCTTGTATTGTTCGTCAATGACTGCCTCGAGCGAGCTGAGAAAGCCTGGTAACCGGATGACAACTTGATATGCCCGCACAACATCCTCAAGATTTGCAGCCTTGCGTTGGAACTTCTTTGCTAGCCGATATAGATCCGGTATTGAGCGTAGGTGCTCTTCTTGCATGGTTTGCCTCAACTCGGTGTCGTTGACAAAAGCTTCGACCAGCTGCTGCCGCCGCTCAATCTCTCCAATGTTCATCAGCGGCTGCTTGAGCCATTGCGCTAAGAGGCGACTGCCTGTCGGTGTCTTGCAGTGATTGAGTAATCCATACAAGCTCATGTTCTTGGCGCCATCCCGTGGTCCAGGCATGAGATTGAGTGCTTTGAGCGCTGCCGCATCGAGCTTCATGTATTGTGACAAGTCGTGTTGGTAGAGCTGATATTGTCCGAAATTTGACGAATCAGACATGACGCCCAGGTACCGAATCAGACACGCAGCTGAGCCCATAGCTAGCTTCAAGTCGGTCAAGGGCAGCGAACCAGCGGCGCGATCATCTTTGAGTAACCGCGGCAAGTCCTGTTCGATGTCCTTTGTGCTAAAGTCAGACGCTGCTCGCTCTGCCACAGCGCATCCGCAGTTGTCAGCAATGGTTCGCAGCTTGTTGAGCTCAACATCTTTCTTGGTTGAGTCGACCTGTATCAAGCACTCCTTGACCCCCAGTTGTATGAGCAGCGATTCGAAGTTGGAATAGAGGTCGTTGTCAAGGAACTCGGATACTCCTAGCTCTCGTACACTTGCATCGGCAAAGCAGACGCCCACATTCCGCGCTTCTGATGCCTTGGCCGACACCTTGACCGCCAGTATTATGGGAGCACTCTCCATTTGGCCACCCAGCTCTTCCTCGAGATCCTGCAGGTTGCCAGGAGAAGCCTGTTTGACCACCTTCCAATCCATACGCTTGCCTGTTGACTGCCATATTTCAATGCGTTTACTGAGTCTGAATAGAGCGTCGCGGAGGAAGTTGCGAAACACGGTGACGGTCATGGTGACGGATTCAAGGCCTGGTTCTCGTCCCAGCTTGCGGATTACGGCCGTGGTTTTGTAGACCTAGAGAAGTGTCAATTCCTCGATTACAGCACAATATGCTTCGCTCGTACTCACTGTGTTTGCAATAAACTTTGCATCTTCGCCGTGGGCACTGTAGTAGTCGCCGCGGTCGAATATGCGCACAGTCTCATTGTCCTTATCCGCCAGATTGCGGAAGAACTTGCAGAAACCCGACTCATCTTCCTCCTTGATCTCTGGTCGGGACGCCATGGTTAGCTGTGCAGCGAGAGGATGCAGCAATGCGGTATGCGTGGGAGACCGAACGAGGAGAAATGTGGAGTTGACGATGATTGGACGCGCTCTCCGTTGATTAGCTGAGACGCGTCGACGCGTCGCTTCCGCGCTAATCACTACTTAGATGCCGCCGCCGGGCAGCGGTCTTGCGTTCCGCCCTGCTAACCCCCACTGACTCCACTCAACTACACTAACTCGACTAACTTTAATAACTCTACTTCGCTATAACCACATTTCCTATCTATATGCCAGATCCCGCGCTCTTCCGCACATGTCGGGCCTTTTTCTTTGGTCTTCGCATCGTACACAGACCCCCAAAATGCTTCCAAGGTTCAGCAATAATGCGTCTCACGAATATATAGGCTGCCTGGCACCAGTCGCTTCTAGCATGCACATGTTGTATTCTCCTTAAAATCTCAATCTAACACTATCTGGCACCAAATATGGCTGAGGAATTCTCTTTAGCGGAGACGCCAATTGGCAAATACTTTGCCTCCATGGCTGAGATGGGTGTAATGCGTGTCTTCGTGGAGCATGGCATTTTCAACGCCATCCCAGACGAAGGAATCTCCCTTGAGGACCTCACAGCGAAACTCAGCGTAGAGTACAAACTCATCGAGCGCTTTGCAGCCTTCCTCCTCGCCGTCGGCGTGCTAACGTCCCCGGCACCCGGTCACGTGGCACATACACCTGCATCAAAGGCCTTCACGGACCCCCGCGTTGCGCAATTTTACACTTACCTCTTCGACTTCTTCATGGGACCGACAACACGGTGGACGGATTACTTTGCGGCTAATGGACTTGCCGAGCCGCCTAGGTCGAATCGCTCGCCGGGCGGATTTGCCCTAGGCATGCCTGATAAGACGGCATACGAGATCATGGCGGCAATCCCCGGACTGGCGACCAGGATGAATGGCGCCATGGCTATCGATGGCGACATCCCTGTCACAGGGGTCTATGATTTTAGCTGGGTGGCTGCATATGCCGCCAGGGATGCTAGTGAGGGGAGGGCACTTATTGTCGATGTTGCTGGGGGAAAGGGTCAGGCGTTGAAGGATATTTTAGAGGAGACCCCCACGATCCCTGCAGCCAGGTGTGTTTTGCAGGATCAACCGCACGTCATTGCCGAGGCGGTGAAAGAGCACAAGGATTCTGCTCTTTGAGTCCGGTGAAGAAGGTTGAGCACAGCATTTTCGGAGAGCAACCCACCAAAGGTACGAAATCGAGTCCTTCCCTTTTCAGGATGCATAATTTTTACGTCAAGAAGTAAACTGACCAACCTCTCCAGGAGCTCTTGTGTATTACATACGCCGAGTCCTGAACGACTGGTCTGACCACAAAGCCCTTCAGATTTTGAAGAATGTGCGCGCAGCCTGCACAGAGGACTCGCGCGTGTTGATTGCAGAGTACCTGCGCCCTGAGAAGCCGAGTGTCTACACTAGCAGCGTTGACATGTTCATCTTGAACATTGGCGGAAAGGTGCGCAGCGAGAAGGCATTTGCTGAGCTTGCGGCGAAGGCAGGGCTTAAGATTGCGTCAGTAGCGAAGCATGAAAAGACAGAGTCGGCTGTGGTTGAGATGGTGCCGATTTAGTTATACCATAGTATGTCAGGCTCCTGCCCATCAAGTATGCAATTGGAATTCTTACTGTACGAGTTCAGACATGCTCTGGTCGTTCCGTCTCTGGTCTCGACATAACAAAATCTAGTGGCTAACTGTCGAACCGCTAGTGACAGCACTTGTTTTGCCAAACGCATCCCTAACCAGCTCCTGGGCCCAATTTGGGAACCCCTTCAACCACGAGATTGGCGCCGCAAAACCAGGAATGAAAAGCTGAGCACCACGCCTACTAAGAACCTGTCTGGCAATGATTTCCGCCACCTCCTCCGGCCTCAACATGGTCTCAAGAATCTTCGGGTCTTGGCCACTCTTCAATATCCCCTCCTCAATCAACGGTGTGCGCACATAACTTGGATGCACAATCGTGGTCTTGATGCCCGGCGTCTTATACCAAATCTTCAATTCACTCGTGAGACCCTCATGGAATGCGAGCGCTGCAGCTTTAGTTGCTACGTAGTCCGCATTAGCCGAGTTGGTCAGGAACGAATTAACGCTTGCTACTGTGACAATGTGGCCTTTGTTCTTCGCCACCATGTCCGGAACAAACTGCTGAACTAGACGCCAGTGCGAGAGGATGTTTGTGTTGAAAATGCGGCTGAGGAACTCGTCTGGGGTCTTCAAAATTGTGTGAGAGCCCGAGATGGCGGCATTGTTGACGAGAATTGAAGGATGTCCCAAGTCTTTTCGGATCTTATCGGATGTTTCTGCTATTGCTATGGGGTTGGAGATGTCGCAGCGGAAGTATGTGAGCAGCTCGTTTGACTTGAATGTCTCGGGTGCGTCTTGCACGTCCAACACTGCTACGCGGATTCTGTGCGAAGCGAGAGCCTCTGCAATGGCTTTCCCGATCCCACTACATCCTCCGGTGACGACTGCGATTTCAGAGGACCAGTTCCAACCATGGCCTGCCTGTATTTGCCAGCTGTTCGTGGCCCATGCATTCAGAAGTGCATTTGTCTTTCTAATAACACCCACGGCAACTAAAATACCCAGAGTACGTATCAGGTTGCGAATATCAACAACGGTTGAGAAAGAGGTTGCTTCCGAGGCATTTTCCCATGCCTTTCCTGGGGTGTACAGCAGCAAGCCAAAAAGAGGACCGGTAACTATTGGCTCGAATGCACACCTTGCAAGAAGGGCTAGTCCTTGGAGAGGGATATCCACGAGTACAGGCATGAATTTGCCAATGGTCTGGTGACAGGAGATAGAAATGAGTACTAGGATACTGATAGACTCAGAAACTGAAGTTCGAGTGATACAAAGTGAGTTGCATGCCGACACCAAAGGTACCTCACTTGAGTATCTAGGCCATGATTCCGCCGCGTTCCGGATCCTGATATGGTCGCAGGCATATAAGGCGCATGTGGGTCACTAGCAAGGAGCGATGTTATATGTACGGAGGTGACTGTCAAAAGTTCTTGCTCAGGCGCGGATCTATCGGACCAAATTCTCTTAATACACTTTCTATTATCATTTTAGCGTGTAGATAATATATCTTGATAGTGTTAGCATATTACTATAAGTGTATTCTTTAACAGCTAATACATTTTCTAAACTATTCTATTAAGTAAGGGCTTCTATTTACAAACTTAGTACTTATGATTTATAGTCTTAGGCGGTATTTTCGGCGGTAATTAAGGAACCCCTGTTAGCAAGAACTTTTGAAAGCCACCTCCGTAGAACCCCAGCTATTCCATGCATATGTACATGTAGGAGAGCGCGGGTTGGCCGAACATGGGGGAGACCCGCCCGTGGCGCTAACCAAATTCAGCAAACACTTTGACAAAAACACATCCCTATAGTGTTCGGCATAAGGGTAGAGTCAGAATTCGGGCTAGGATATCCAGGTCCTAAGTCTAAGCATTCTCCACATATATTCTTAATTTTTGAACCCCATTCTGGACATGTTGAGTGAGTTTTGTTATCGCCACGGTAACGCACTAGTGCCCGTTTTCGAATGACGTGCCAACACCAAATCCAGTAGAGGTGCTAAGTACAGAGATGTCCGACATAGTGCCGAATTTTTACAGTTTTGGTGGCATTGTGTTCGGGCCGGGACCATATAATATCAGCAACACAATTGAACGAACCCTACTTATCATTAGATAATTGTCCGCTCATCGATCGATACGGCGTGTTTCAAACCATCAGTGAGTGTTGCAGCCACTAGCAGCGCTGTCGAAGCTCCACTTTTTGTACTGAATCTCTACAGCTGCACTAACTAGGGTCCCCAACATTTGTTAAAGGCGCAGGTGACTATAACGCAACCGCGATTCAGCGACATTCGGATTTCGGAGACCTCTGTACCCGGGCCATGTCTACGACTAAAGCACTGAAAGTGTAAAATACTCGGCCGATGCAACATCACGGAAGTGCAACACCACACAATCAACATGTCTTTGTGGGACCAGATACTCAGCCGCCTCACCTTCCAAAGCGGTATTGGTTTCATGTACCGTCAACTATTCATGCACCCTCCTCCAATCGGACCACATGTCAAACTTGACGGACAAACGGCCATTATCACCGGCTCAAACACTGGCCTAGGATTCGAAGCAGCACGACAACTCCTACAGCTAGGCCTCTCTCGGGTCATTCTGGCTGTACGATCCCAAGCTAAAGGCGACATGGCAGCCGGAACCCTCCGCAGTGAATTTCCAAACACTCAAATCGAAGTATGGATTCTGGACATGGACAATCCCGAGTCAGTCTCGGCATTCGTCGCTAGATGCGAGACACTAGGCAGAATTGACATGGCCATTCTCAACGCCGGCGTGCAGAACAAGGACTACGTTGTCTCGGCAAAGACCGGAAAGGAACAGACCTTCCAAGTCAACTACCTCTCCACCATCATGCTAGCCGTGCTTCTCCTGCCGCTATTGAAAGCAAAAGGAGGCATAGCTGGAGAGCCGGCTAGGCTAACGGTAGTCACGTCGACAGCTGCATACTTTGCCGATTTCGATCACCGGAAACCCATTTTACCGCAGTTTGACGAAACGTATGACTTTACCAAGTGGTATGCACGCGAGAAGTTGCTGCAGATGGTTGTTGTGAGAAGATTGGCAGCACTGGTCAGCCCCGATGAGGTGATTGTCAACACAGTTTGTCCGGGGCTGGTTGGGGATACCGAAATTTGGCGTACCCTGAATACAAATGCTGTATTAAGATATGTGTGCTCAGCTTACTTTGCTTTATTTGGTAGAAGCGTGGCGGACGGTGCCAGCACATACATTCATGCAGTGGTGGCTGCACGTTGTGAAAGCCATGGAGGCTTCTTGAGCGATTGGGGAGTCCGCCCGTAAGTGCTATAAACCAGAATCCGCTTGGACCGATTGTTTTGCTGACAGTGTGCTAGATATCCGGTTGTGATGTATACAAAGCGTGGGCAGAATTTGGAGGAGAAAGTCTTGAGCGAAACGAGAGAGATGTTGAAATCCGGGAATGTCTCAAGCGCATTAATGCAGAATCTGTAGTCAAGCCGTTACAATCAAGTTGCCCAATCATGCTATTGTCAAAGCCAAGCAAGCATTGAAACTTGACATCCTGATATTTTATGCTTGACTTGGATTCTTATAACACCTGACTTCCAGCACATAGTCGCGAGGTTCCTATTCCGACTCCGATTTCTCTGGTCTGAGACTAAGTTTAACATTCAAAGGCGGGTGCACGTAAGAAGCGCGCACGGGCTGATCAAGCCATGGTTTCTCGAGCCACTCGCGATCTACAAGTTCAAAATTATACTTCCACACTAGCCGGGCCATTATTTGCTTGATCTCAGAGTTTGCTAAACTAGAAATGGATTCGCAGTCAGTGGAAACTTTCGAGTTGTTTGTGAAGAGGAAATGATAAAGGGTGGCTTACTTCTGGCCGATGCAACTACGTTTTCCTGTCGAGAATGGTTGGAATGCTACTTTCTTATCATCTTTGAAGAGAGGATCTCCAAGCCAACGCTCGGGAGCGAAGACCTCTGGATGGGTGAAGTTGGCCGGGTTATGATACATTGACCAATGCCAAATATCTACAACAGTCTGTGGCTGTGCACAGCAATCAGCAAGGCGTCCGGGTTCTGGTAGGATGACACATGAGATTGCTTTAGGTACTTACTCCTCCCGGAAGAAAATACCCGCCAATATCCTCGCCATATGGCTGGATCAGTCGCGGCACAGAACCTACGGCAGCTGGATAGATACGTAGCGTCTCATCTATGACAGCTGTGAGATACTTGAGACGCTGCGCACTAAGAAGTGTGATCTTCTCTTCACTGTCGAAGGATGAGTCGATTTCTTCTTTCAGCTTGGCAAGTATCTCAGGGTGTGTGCAAAGTAGATATGTTACCCCAGAAAGTCTGATTGAAATCACGATTCGTTCTTTGACTGCTTTTAGGAAGATAGACAAAAGAAAGGGGTCTTCATACGCAAGTGCAGTCGTTTCGGAGCCTGCTACAACGAAGATGCTCGCATTATGGCAAATTGCTTCAAAAGAAAGACCCTGTTGTCCAGGCTGTTAGTTTCTTTACTAAAACTCCAATCTAGAAGAGCGGTGTAATTTCACTCACTTCTTTTCCGTGAGCATAGTCAGGCTTCATACCGTCAATGAAGTCTGGTCGACTTGGCTCCAAAGCTAGACGCTTCGAGACCTGAGTACGCATGAACATATTATGCTTCGTAATAATCTTTGCCGCAAGAAATTTCACAATAGGGCCGACCATTGCCTCTATCATTGGATACGCTCGCCTGAAATGCGCCATGTCATGCTGTGCAACAAAAAAATCTAAGATAGTCGCAATCCACGGGTGAAACTCTCCCCGCTCCATATTTCCAAAGGACTCACCAAAGCTAAGGTCGCCAATGATGTCGAAGGAGAAGAAGTTGAACCATTTGGACAAATCAATCGATCGCCCCTCGACGCGGTGCTCCTCAAAGCATCTGAAGAGGTGGTCAACGTGGTGGCGGATGAGAGGCTCCTGGCGCTGCATGCCCTGCGCAGAGAATGCCGGGGCTAGTAGATGACGCTGGTGCGCATGAGTCTCTGTGTCAGCCCCAATGATGCCTGCGGCGACTTCAGCTACGAAGCCTGGGTGTTTGAGGTTCTCTAGCTGGCCAAGTTTGCGGTGCCCGTATACTTCTTTCCATGCTGTTGCGTGAAGACAGGACACAGAATTAGGGCTTGTGCGGACGACGCCGCCGTACTTCTGGTGTAATGCAAGTATCTTTTTGTGCGGCGTGTCAGACCATGACATGAAGAGTAGTGGGATGGGTGATATAGACCACAAGAAAGATCCAGGTACTTTCTTAAGTGGATTGAGATAAGCATTGTATATAGCGGACAATAGAGTATGTCCCAAAGCCTGTTTTGCAGGTTAGTGGAGATACACTCTTCATGCTATTTACTCAGAATATTATCACACATAGAGTTGCTTTTATGAACACCCACAATGAGAGGAGCTCTTGATATTCACCCATCCTGTAGATGGACCTTCCTGGTACCGAATCAATCTCCCACACATACAATAGAATTCGGCCAATGCTCTTTTGGTGTACATAAGAAACGGGTTTGTTAAATTGCGACCGTCCGAGCACAGACTCATTGTAGATTAGTCCGAAGTGCTGAGTCGTTACTAACCGTGGCAACCGCCTGTGGGCCACTAGCAGGGGTATGTCATATAGCTTATTTCTCATATCACCAGACAATACCACCTCAAACACCGAAGTGCATCGGCCATCGGTCTTCGGCCTCCGGCACTCCTCGGATGGTGAAGTAAATGACCTGGTCCACTCAAGCCTAGACTTGCAAATGGGTGGGGGTTAGGGTGCTCCATATCATTATCTCCAATATCATCATTCTTACTAATATTCTAATGGCCCAGAAGACTGCTATACACCAATAGTAGAATGCTACTAGAATATGAACGATAGGCAGCTGAAGTTATCCCATGGCTCAGTTATATGTATGCTCATGTGATATCACCACTTCATTATCCAAAAGCACAAATTTTTGCAAGTGTTTCAAATCCACAGTGATGTAATGTGATGCGATGTATGCATTTAGCGTCCATATTTAAAAACCTCCCGTAGGGCATGTGGACGGGCGAAGCCCAGGACTCACAGCGGTAGCACGCTGCCTAGGGTGCCTATTCATGAAAATAGGTTATGCGTTCTATCTATAGGGGCTCCGCCATTTTTTAATCCACAGTAAAACCACGCCGCAGTGTCTTTCTAAGCAGAATTCTTGCAGCGTGGAATGAATTTACAAATGACCGGCTCTGCGCACTTGAGGTTAAGCTCAACCTTGATCTTCATCTCATCCGTGCCATTGTCCCCTTTGCTACCAAGTCCACACCACTCTATTCTCTCAAACTCTTGGAGAATCCGAACCAGGATATACTGAATTTGGAAACGACCAAAGACTCTGCCAGGGCACTGGCGTGGCCCGATACTAAAGGGGAGAAAGTCGCCGTACTTGGGCGACCAGGTTTCCCATCGTGAAGGATCCCAAACATCAGCATTTGGGCCTACAGTGGCTTTGTTGCGCTGAAGACCTGCGACCGAGTAGACTAGATAGTTGGTCAGCGTTAGTTGCTTGTGAAATTTCAAGTTTCCAGGTATTCATAGTGTATTTAGATAGTTCATACCTATAATTTGTCCTTTGGAGACGGATATCTGATCCTTTCCATCTGGACCGCCTCCAACAGGCAGAACAGCATCTGTCCTTGCCTCTCGAATGTTGAGACCGAGGGGATGGTACATTCTCATAGACTCTTTCACTGTATTGGCTAGGAGGTCTAGTTTCCTGAGCTGGCCTACTGTGGGAATTGTGTGCATGCCAATGCTTGTGGTAAATCTGGTTAGTATCGTGTCTAGTTTTCGTCTCAATATGAGTTTCTGCTCACTGCTGTTCAATCTCTTGCTGGAGTTTTTTATACAGTGCTGGTTCGTGGGCCAAGTGATATATCGTCCATGTGGCTAAGATAGCACCTGGATCCTACTTGGTCATTAGTTTCCATCTACAATTTGCAAGCGATAACATACCTTGGAAGCCATCAATACTGCTATAAGCTGACCTCTGATAAAGTATCGGTCGTTCGGGTGCGTGGCCACGAGATCCTCCACAAGATTGTATTCCTTCTCCGTCTTCGAATCAGATTGGTTATTGATTGGCAGCGCCAAAGTCTTTTCGATGAGGTCGTCGATATAGCGCGTCAGATCACGGTAAGCTCCAGGAACAAAAAGCCAGTCGGGAAACAGGTTCGCAAGGCGTCTATAGCAACATCTCTTAGTAACATATTTCTCAAGTTTCAGGGTGAAACTTTGGCGGACGTGTCACATACCCGAAAAGTAGACGATTCGTGTTGAACGTCAGAAGCTCTTCCATGGCCTTGCGGAATGGTTGTTCGTTTGCAGAAAGCGAATTCGTGGATTCTCCGAGGAATACTTCGCTTACAAGGTCGAGTTGGAACTGAAGATAGTTAGTAACAAAGAATGTCGGAAAGATGATTCAGGATAGCAGTACCCTATCGATCATATCGTATACATCGACATTCTCAGGCGAGTTTTTGATCAGTCGTAAAAGCTTTTGCATGTGCCGCTCGGCTGTAGGAATGTCATCCGAACGAACACGAGAGACCTTTCGTATTATGCAAATCAGCCATCACTCAATATGTGCCCGCACGAACAATGGGTCACCTACATGTGGCTCTAGTTGTTCTCTACTCGTCTTCCACAAAGGCCCGTCCGCTAATCCTAGTATCAGCAACTGTGCTACACAACTTCGGGTACCATACTTACTTGTGAAGACGGAGTCCCCCAAGATACTACTAAAAACATCGTGTGGCGTCTGTCCCTTGGCAAAGTCGGCAAACTGATCGGCTTGGATCGCTTTGATATTCTCCGCTCTATCAGTAATAAAAATGTCACCGCCTAGCAGATTCATCTCGACTGTGCGACCGGGAGTATTGAGCACTTCATCGCAGATGTACTCGACAAACGTGTTCGAATGCAATCGTTTTACGAGCTTCCACGCCATATCCAGTCCTATGTGGCACATGCTGATCAGTTTCACTGTAAAGTCCGGCTTTCACGCCAACGTGAATAGTAATTGAACGCTGCTAACTAACCAAGGGGTAATTTGTACGGAATGCGTGGAGCATGCGGGATGTCTGATCTCGTATGGCCATTGTTTAATCTGGATGCTGCAGCAAAGAGGAATATGATTGGCACTACGACGTATAGAAGCAACTCTGAGAAGTCGACATCCATAGACGTTAAGACACCCATCTTGGTGGTTGTCTTTGTTCTGGCTTGTAAGCTCGGGTTACATAGGGATGTGGTAAATTCTACTGTATAGGCAAGAAATAGCGAGCTGTGTGAGTAGATCGTTTTTCAGAGCTACACTGTTACGGCGCAGACGCATAACCGTATGCAAAGTCGCTAGAAGCCAAACTTTCGGATTCTGTTTTTGGCATATACCACCGAACTCAACTGTAGCACTAAATTTTTGGGTGACTCTGGGACTATCCGTAGGACTGTGAACCAACTTCGGTCCCATATACCCCTGTAAAAGCCTAGCGTGGGGTTTACTACCGAGTTATCCTCCCGGGCGTACCGGTCCCTAAGAATTATGTATAACCCTACTCGCGCCACACGCTAACTAGAGGTTGGCGCTAGCTAGCTCAACGCAAATAACTAGCTTGATGCAAATTTTTCTACTGCATGCTTACTACTACTTTATAGCCTACTATAATACTATGTATAATATTATATTTGAGAAAATATTATAATATTAACAAATATATTAAGAGTACTTATATAGCTTATAATTTTAAAGAACTTTAAAGAACTACCAACTTAGCGTAATAGTTTATAGTATAAACTTGTTAGACTGTGAGGTGTTTTCTAATCAAGGATAGACTTAAGTCACTGTGATGAATAGCTGCGATAATTGATGGGAGAAATTGATTGTATTGATTGTTCTGTCCTCGCCAGCGGCGCGCAGGAGCGCCGCCTTATGAGCGCTGTCGCTGCGACACCAGTGGTATCAGTTGTGTCTCATGTATCGGCCCTACCTAGGGTGGGCTTGGCGCTTGACTCTGATTGGCTAGGATCACAGAATCCTGGTGCTCGAGTCCGCACCCGGATTCTGCCGCTTATCTGACACACCCCCTCAGCTTGGAGCTAATTAGGATTACAAGCTGGGCTATTAGTCAGTTAGATCGCTAGACGCTCAATTTGATCCTGGATCTCGAGCAGA